CGCAACGCTCCCCCTCTCTGGGCTGATGCGTGAGGTCATTTCTCCCTCAAACGTTATATCGCCGGGCGCTGGAAGCTCAAGCTAGCCAGAGGGTTTGGCAATATTGCCATTGTATTTATTCAGTCACGGTCTGCAATATCAACCTAAGCATTGATGACGGTTTTGTCACAACTGTACGTACTCTCAAGGTTCATCTAAAATTTCGTTAAAGGTTATGCCACTCACATGGTTGGTAAATGGCACCTTGGCTACAACAAGTGGGAGATCACTCCAACATATCGTGGTTTCGATACATTCTATGGTTTTTACAATGCTCGGGAAGACCATTACTCTCATACAGTGTTAGATATATTAGACCTTCGAGACAACAAGGAGCCAGTGAGGAACCTGGAAGGAACATTTGGTACATTTGCTTTCGCAGAGGTAAAGTTTGAAGTTTACTTGCAGTCGAGGTTGCATTGACCTTATAGTCAGTGAACACTGGCTCCTGGGGGAGGGTGGTGATGGAGACAGGAGCCTCTTCCCCCTGGGCCTCCTTTATTCATCCTGTCTACCCTCGAGTTCTACCGTTCTCGTCGTCCTATACCTCACAAGAGAGTATGCCTGTTCAAAGGTTGGAACAAATAAACACATAAGCATAAAAGTATAAGCGTAGATAAATAAACCTGATGACTGGAAAGAGCAATAATTAAACGAAATGTCAGTCAGTATCTTTGACAACTATCAATTGTCACGCAAGTGTATCGAATATTAATAAGATCTTAACTTAATTAATGAATTAATTTATTTGATTTATTTAACAGAATAAGGAACACACTGAGCAGTTTTGCGTCTGCTTAATTTGTTTGTTAAAATGGGAAACGTTCCACGTTCTGACAAATTTTCGTGTTCCTTTCAACAGCGAGCGAAGAAAGTCATCGAGTCACATAATTCTTCCACACCCTTGTTTTTGTATATGGCATTCCAAAATGTCCATATTCCACTCCAAGTCCCAAAACGGTATTCCGACAAGTACAGCTTTATTGATAATGAAGATCGCAGGACTTACGCTGGTATGGTGGATATTTTGGACGAAGCCGTTGGCAACATTACACAGGCCATGAAGGATGCCGGGTACAATAACTGCTTTGCATGTAGTGTAATATTTGCCGCCGTGCAGGTTGTCTCCCACTTACTTTTCAGTGGACAAAAATCTTTTACCAGAATATTTCAAGTCATATCGCTTTTTAATACACTTTTCAAGGGCTATAGATATAATTAGTGATCTGTGGGAGCCCGAGAAAATAAATTTCAAATTTCACAGGAATCAAGAAAAGACAGGTAAAATCATCCTGCGTAAGATTTCAATTTTTTTGACTGAATTTGAGACTTTTAAAGTTTGTTTTCTAGGGCTTCCTCAAGAACCTTTTTTTAGAGTTATTTCATATAACTTATTACATCTATAGCCCTCGAAAAATGTAAGAAAAGGACGCAATATGCCTGGCATGAAGTTATTCTGGTACAAGGTTTTTGTCCACAGAAAAATAAAATTACTCAGTTTCCCAATAGATTCCATCTTAATCCATCTATCCATGAAATAGCAAAAGTGAGAATTAAAGAGGCTGTTTTACGGCTGTCTAGTTCATTTTGTTGATAATGCCAATTGGTGTGTAGCCCCCGGGGGATTCGTCACGCGTTCCTAAGAACGTCTGCGTTGGAATGCTTATTCGTTACGGAACTGAGAAATTACTTTTAATTGACAAAACCACAACTTCATATCAAACAAAGACGCCCTTAGCATTATTTAAAAACAAAAAACAAAACTGTTACGCTAACAAGTTTTCAGAACTGCAGCTTTGTTTCAAAGGTCTTCAAGATTTTCCATCCCTTTTGTATCTGCCGTGTTATTTATACCATCTCAATTTTAACGTTTTGAGCGGTTATTCTTATGTTTTACTCAATTTGGTGTCAGTTCCCTCTGCTTGAATTTTATTAAATTTCCTGACACAGCTCCTTTAAAAAACCGGAAAACAAAAGATATACTCAGAGGAGATCATGAGTGGTCACGTCATAACATTGTCTGCAGTCTCATTTCAGAGTATATTACATATGCCTCCATAACTGACCCTGGAGGTGACACGGATTAAAGTGGCTCGTGTTGTCATTCTTCCTTTATCACTTATACCCCATAAAAGAAGCCAATCACTGGAGTATAACAGCTTCCATATCTTTACCGTCATTCAGTTTGAGTTACGCCTTCTAATTTAACGTGAGTTACTATTGTTTCTTAGATTGTGGGAGGACACCCTCATGGTTTTCACTACTGATAATGGAGGATGGCATAATCACGGTGGATTCAACTGGCCGCTTCGAGGGGAGAAGACCACGTTATGGGAGGGAGGGGTTAGAGGGGTAAGCTTTGTCCATGGAAACATGCTTGGCAGAAGAGGAGTGAAATGTGAAGGCCTCATGCATGTTACAGACTGGTTTCCAACATTGGTCAATATTGCAGGTAAACACATGCTTAAACATAAGCAAAACGTTGAACAGAGAGATAAATCACTGAAGAAATATCAAACAATTGTAGCATTGATCATAAGATTGACCGGCGCCTGCGTGATGCGTTGCTGCTTGTTTGGTGTTTTTGTTCTAAGCTGTATTATTATCGTAAATTTTCAACGTTTTTCTTCTCTATTCCAACAGGTGGTACTCTTGATCAAGCACCAACTCCACTGGATGGTATGAATGTGTGGAATACCATTTCCAATGGCGATCCGTCACCCAGAAAGGAAATACTGATCAATATTGATGTGGAGCCTCAAACGGAAAATGCTTTTAAAGAAGGCGGGTCGATTGACATCTACGAAGGGATAGCTTTGAGGGTTGGCGACATGAAACTTCTTTTGAGTGTGCCTAATGCCTCTTGGTATAAACCCCCGGAGCTAGGTGGAGATTCAAGTATGAGGCAGTACACACCCCCTGACACAAACGGCAGGCTTGGCTGGTTTCAAGGTGGAGAAAAGGTACTGAGAAGTAAAGACCGATATTTTTCTGTAAGTCAGGCATCTTAGAACCCGCCGTATCCTCCTCACAAGTTGATTTTGACTAACACAAGAAAGGAGTAGTCAAGTGGTGATTACCACGGGTACACGAACTACCCTTGTGGAAAACCTTGTGCATAAACATAAAACTTATTAATAAGAATTTATTTGATGTGGAGGGAAAACGACCCACTACAAAGTATGTCGAAGTTATAGCGTAGAGAGAAGGAAAGAAATAAAAATAATTCACCTGACACTAATATCAGATGTGCCGCCGTAAAGATTTAATCAGTAAATTAACTCGGTTATATCAGGAGCCGATTACTCCTAGTTATATACAAGCCCCCAAAAGTTGAACAGTTCTATCCACGGTACAAATCTCTATCCACTTGATAGCGCAATTGGTTTCCTTAGTAGTACTTGTTTGTTGTAAAGTGATTTATCCGGTGGGTAGCGCTATACAGTGTTTTAACAGTCAGGACCAGAAATTCAAACATATCTATTACGCCTGGGCTGATGGCCCGGGTGACTCGAACATTAATTTAAATTTGTCAGTTCACGGAAAAAGTTCGATTTCCTCAACAGACCACAGGAGACACTGTGCAAGTTGCCCTTTACAACATAACCGCTGACCCAACGGAACACGACAACCTTAGCGAGAAACTTCCAGACGTGGTCAAGGAAATGAAAAAAAGAGTGCAGTATTACATGAAGGGGGTCGTGCCTCCACCCACCAAAATGTTTGATCCTAAAGCTATTGTAAAAGCATTGGAGGAAGGTATTTGGACGCCTTGGCAAGATTAAACCTTTCTTGTACCAGAAACTCTGTCATGAATAAAATTCATTAAATGGTCTAGCTTGTTACAGGTTTTGTTTAGCGTCGAGAAAAATGTCGTACAAGTTTGATTGATTTTGTTTAATTTTCGATTTGTTAAATGTGGGAGGTAGCGTCTCAATATTTTTTTATTTTTTAGTGTTCATGACAACAGTGACCAGTGTGAAGGTTCAACAAATTTGCTTGTGTTACGTAGAAAGCTATTTTCAGTTTCTGGTAAATTTTAACTCACAATGTATTTAACATCACGATCAGTCAACAATAAAAAATGCAAAGCTTTTCTTTCTTTCTCTTCTTAGTTTTCAAAACCTATTTCCATCCAGCGTATGTCCATGATAGACATTAGGGAGCTTAAGCAACAACGACGGCGACGTCTACGGAAACGTCACTCAAAAAATTCGCGCTACTTCAAACTTTATCGCGCTTATTCCAACTCGTTCAATTCGTTAAGTTTTGGCAATTATGTGTAGTTCGGTTCTAAAAGACTGTATCAAAGTTCAGAAAAAGAAAAAAGAAACTCGTCTTCGTTCACGTCCTCGACAAAACGTGAATATTGGCACTTTCATGTTGTAGTCGTGCAGCGACGGCGAAGAATTGTACAAAAAAACGTGCAAAGTTGTTGTTTTGCCAATCTAAACCTATTACTTGCCGTTCTCGTTGCCGTCGCCGTCGTCGTTGGTTAAGCTACCTATTACCCGTACCTTGTGTACTTCATAATAGTGTGGGGCGTTTGAGCATTTCGTCCGCTTAGCTATGAGGTACCAGGAGTCTGATGTGCCTCTTTTTGTTCGTTGCTCTTCATACACCACTTGCACATCTCCCATAATGCACCTTGTTTGCCCCCCCCGCCAAAAAAACAATTTTGCATAACCTTTTTTTTTTCATTTCTCCTGTGTTTTACAGCCGTTCCAAGAGAAATTGAAAACAATGCTTATGCAAAATTTTTTTTGGGAAATAAGGTGCACTATGGGAGATGTGCAAGTTGCGTATAGCAGCTCATACGTTTTCTTTTACAGCATCAATTACTAATTACCATAACTGAACACAACTATACAACATATTATAACTACACATCCCGAGCTGCATATAACTCACTGCGCCAAATGGAAAATGTAGGTAGCTTCGGGCTTGCTGACAATGAGAATTTCAAACGCACCTTCCTACTGACCACAGTGAATGATGAATTTCCTGTTGATCACCAAAATGGTATAAACAAACCTAGTATAAGGTTAATAATGTTATTGAAGTGCAAGAAAACCAACTAAACCCACGGCCCACGGGGCTCTACCTTAAACCAAAACAGGAACTCTGACGTAGGTAACAATCAAGGTCATCTTAAATCCCTAAACATGCCCACATCAAGGACTGACACTTAAAAACTCCTCAAGGTAATAACAGGGGCGGATACAGGATTTTTTTAGGGGGGTGCACTCGTCTCTTGCTCTACTTCAACACCAATAAACCACATAGTTTTTTCTTTTGCAGAATACCAGTTGTATTAGAAAACCACAGGTCATCTCCGGGGAGGGGGGGCGGTGCGCACCCCCTGCACCCTCCCCCTAGATCCGCTCCTGAATAAAATTAAAAAAAACTTGTCGATACAAATACTAGTTAACCTTGATCTACAAACCTAAACATAACGAAACCCTAAGCACGAGCGAAAGCTCGGGAAAAAACAAACTATCAGCAAAAATCCTCATGATAATGTTTTTCAAAACAATCATTAAACTGCTTTATACATTAGACAATAATATTCATACGACTATATTTTAGAGAGAATTCCTTGCGTTTAGGTAAGAATTACGGTTAGACACTTTCCGCGATGTCTATTATAAAGAGCTTAAATTTCTAGGGTGCATTTTAAAAGAAAGCAACGTTATGAAATGACTTTTCTTAATCCTTCAATATGTTGCTGTGGCAAACAATAAAGAAAAACAAAAACTGGTTTATTTGGCCCCGTGAAAAGAGGCAATTCAGACCAGTTAACTGGAATACGCAGCTGTTCAAAATGGAAAGGTGGGGGAGGAATATTAGTACCAGCCTGCGAGTACAGCCGTTTCTCCTTGCTCCTTATGTAAACAGCTAGAATAAACATTTTTGCTGGAATTGTTGAGGTGTGCATCAACACTATTATAGACTTAAAGTATACGGGTTTTGAGTATTGTGGTATTAATTTAAGGCCTGCCATGGTCATTTACTGGCAAATAAAGTGAGCACATTGCCTGATCACAAAGTGGCAATAGCATAACAGTCTCAAGACTGTTAACCTTATTCGAAAGTTATCATCGAGGAAGGAAGTACGCGCTCCAGTCGAAAGACTCACATTAATAGAGAACGAGCTGGAGTTAAAAATTCATTGTTTTAGAGTAAGCATGACTGAGTCACATCGCAACTCTCCATAGTTGATGTAGTTTCAGTTTAAGCTGCAACCCATTCTTCGAGATTTGGATTTGTAAATAACAGGGGCACCCAACGGCAATTTTCGGGAAAATATCTGTTCGGAAGACGATTTGAGATCTAGAATTTTCGGAGCATTTGTTGTAAAATTTCTTGCTTGCCTGCTCTCCTAGGATTTTCGAACATCTACAAAATGGCATAATTACCCTTTTTTAACGGATTTTGACCCCAAAAAAGGCCACCTAGAATTTTCGAGAGCCTTTTCCTGGCTAAAATTTTCGAGAAGGTAAGTTTTTATCCCTATAATTTTCGGATCACTGGACTTTCAGCTAGGAAATCCGAGCAGATGAAAAGTTTTTAGGGGATAAAAATATGCCTATATCTACCGTTTGAATACTAAAATACGTTCAACAATGCTATGTTAAGTGGTTTTGAACTATATCCTCGTTGGGTGCCCCTGAAATAACCATCCGTGAGAATTTAACATCCTGCTAAAAACGCTAACGAGCTGGGCCCAGCGTGACAAATGCATTGCAGGAAACCGTCACATTCACGGACAAAAAAAATCGCTCATAATTATTCAGATCCAGGAGGCACTTTGGAGAAATTAAGCAAACTAAAACCCCGTAATTAGCCGCAATAAAGAACTTTACATTTCAAAAGAGGTCAATGAAAAAATGCTCTTGCATCAGAGGGCAAATCATGCCGACCATAAACAATGATCGCAGAAAATCTAGCCTGTTCCAGGCTCTCAGATAGAGGGGAAGACGCGAAAGAAAAAGGTACGCGAAAAGTTGGCGGGGCGGGAAAAAAGAAAAAGGAAGGGAGAGAGAGCCTGTAATCATTTATTTTACGACCCTCTTCCGCCCACTTTTGGCACGTTTGAGATGATCAGATTTCGGCTGTCAAACTGTTGAAATGTCAATGAGTTGGAATCTTCCTCAAATTTCTCGCGAGATTATTTCGCGAGGCGCTTCTCCCTTATGCGAGGCAGAGCAATCTGGAGTGTAAAAAGCGGGTCGGTAGGCAACACACGACTTTTACCTTGTCCCAAAATGCTACTTGTTCCAGTGAATATTTTCTCTTACAGGTAGATTATGCTCTGGAGGGGTCTACATTTTGACCGAGCAAACTATGTGATTTTTGCCGCCTGTTTCATGCTGCCGAGGTCGCGACGCCCATATTGATTTTCTGAGGTTATTGTTTCTCTCTCCCTTCCTTTTTCCTTTTTCCCGCCCTGCCAACTTTTCGCCAACCTTTTTCTTTCGCGTCTTTCCAACTATCTGAGAGCCTGGAACAGGCTAGAAATAAGCGGCAAAAATCACATTCGATCAGTCAAAACGTTTTCCCCCAGAGCATAATATACCGTCAGAGAATAATAAAAATATATTATTGGAACAAGCAGCATTTTCGGATGAGGTAAAAGTCGTGTGTTACATCATTCAAGCGTTCGTTGCTTATAGTGGTACTCCAGAATCTGGTGTTACTCGTAAGACCACATATTACTAGTAAAGAGCACGTGTTGCTCATAAGACAACGTCACGTACTCCGGACATGACATGACATCCTCAAAAAACAATCTAAAGTCCGCCCGTAACCTCAGTTGCATAAGAGAGCAGTAAAGTCCTAGTATAAAGAAATTGCTTCTTTTACCACCTTAATGGAGATCTGCAAACTGTATTTGTGTGGGCTCTACGGTCTAGTTGGGTTGCAACTGTTTGTCATATGTGCACACGGAGCCAAACAGCCTCCTCATATTTTTCTTGTAGTAGCAGATGACCTCGGCTGGAGTGACGTTGGATTTCACGGTTCGAAAATCCAAACGCCAAACATTGACAAATTCGCTTCAGAAGGAGTAATTCTTGACAACTACTATGTTATGCCTATTTGTACGCCTACAAGAAGTGCTCTGCTCACAGGAATGTATCCAATCCACACTGGTAAATTCTCAAACTGTTACTCGTGTACCGGTTACTGAATACTTTCTATTTGCTGAAATTTAATCGGTAGGAACATTAGAAATTAAGTCTCTTGTTAAACGGGGGTACATGTGCTCCCTAGTAATAACACAATTCGGCAGACAAGTCGAGGCAAGCATCTTTCTAAGCTAGCACGAGACGTTAAGTGTTTCGCTCTGTAAAAATCTTTACTTTTGATCGCAGCCAAATTTGTCAAAATCATGTCCAAATGAATTGTTAAAGTGTTTCTGGTGATAGTCTACCCTGGGTTCCAGAGGATATTCTTTTCTTATCGATACTGGTCGTATATTTCATACAGTGGAACCCCGCCTTACGACCACCCCGTTTATAAGACCACCTCGTTATTACGGCCATATTCTTTCAAACCAAACTTAAAAACCATTGAGTCATTTTCTTATTTTGAAGACCCCGTTAATGCGACCACCTTGTTATTACGACCAGGATTTTATGGCCCAACGGTGGTCGCATTAACGGGGTTCCACTGTATTAGGTATTTTGAGAACGGTCCTCTGGAGCCAGGGTAGAGATAGTCCTGTTCCTCAGTGCTTCGAATTTCTGTATGACATGTTGCAAAAACGAGTAATTTAATTAAAATTAACTTTTAATATTCCAGCATCTGTTTAAATTACGGTCTAACTTTACGGCCTTTATCTTAAGTCACATCCCGGTCACACAGTACTTTAATAAACAACTTGAAGAGAATAATGACGAAGTTCAATGCCCGGGGGGGGTACTCCATATATCCCTGGGTGGGAAGGCGCGGCGCGGCCCCTCATACCCTGACCCTGTTTAAGACAAATATTGCTCATTTTCCTACCCTGTTCAAAACAGAATTCCGATTTTTGATACCCTGTTTAAGACATTTATCCTGTTTAAGACAAAAATTGATAAATCGATTCCCTGATTAAGACAAAAAATGATAAATTCGATACCCTGTCTAAAACAAAAATCGCGAAAAACATACCCTGGCTGGCCGCACGTCCCCATTAAGCCCTTATAAGGGAGTACCCCGCCCCCCTTCCCGGGTTCAATGGTTTTTACAGTTAAGCAGTCGATTATTCAGAGAGCGAGCCGTTGGTTCCTCTCGCAGGAGGTGTAGGAGTTAGACTGCAAATGGGCTCCTGTCTACATTTAGTTTATTTTCTTGTCTTTTTAAATAGATTGTATCTGGACTATCTGCATGTAATTTCTATAGGTTACCTCGGTAGTGCGGTCACTTCATTATCTACTTCGTAGTGTAACATATCTTTCCTTTCTGAACGCCCGGATCTGAACGTAAACAAATCAGCATTTGACAGCATTTCCATGTTCCCAGCGCTAAAGTTCACCGGATAGAACTATTTGCAGTTTTCAATTTTAGACTATTAGTTAAGCAGGGAACGAATTTGATTAAGAAATATATAAATCAGCGATTTTTGAGTGTTTCTGTGGACTTGTACTAATAAGAGGTGTCTTTTTGACTTTGATAACATGACCCGCTTAATACGGACACTTTGTATGGCCCCTTCAGGGTCCGTATTAACGGGATTTGACTGTATATAGGCTTTGACTGGGAACGTTTTGGTGTTTTGGACAAGTGGTCGCTTACTAGAGGTGGTCGCGCCACATATATAGCGGAGCCAGCTGGTTATAGTCTGACTATCCAAGAGAAGGATTTGCATTTCACTGACAGCGCAAAACAACTTTAATTTATATCATCTTTCTTTAAAGGTCTTCAGCACTGGGTCCCCTTTCCACAGAGCCCTTATGGATTTCCTCTGAACTTCACAACGTTACCCGAGAAGCTCAAGAAATCAGGTTTGTTGACAAGGGCAATCTTTGCTGACGACAGTGTTCACATTCCGTTTTTTTAGTGAAAGGATTTTGCTGAAAAGGCAACTTGCTAAGTAAGACTCAACTTCAGTAACCCAGAGTTCAGTTAAGCTTAGTAACCTCACTGTAAAATATTTAGCTCCTTGTGCGCAATAATGAGGGTTTTATCAGCCATAAGAAAAGACAGAATAAATAATAACGAGCGCGAGGAAAAGTATTCAGCATTTAACTAATAGAGCTGACATTTTCGAAAAAGCCTTAATTTAGCTAGGTCCTTTTACTATTCAGAAATGAGAGTTTTTTGTAACTGGAATGTTACCGAGGGAATTCATCAAATTCGGGTTTCCTTGTTGACGGTGATTTCTTCTTCCACAGGTTATGCCACACATATGATCGGTAAATGGCACCTGGGCTACCACAAGTGGGAATACACCCCGACATATCGAGGTTTTGATACATTCTATGGTTTTTATAATGGATGGGGAGACCACTACTCTCATGAAATTGACAATATATTGGACTTAAGAGACAACAAGGAAGCTGTTCGTGACCTCAACGGCACATTTGCTACATTTGCCTTCTCCAAGGTAATGATTATGCTGTTCGAGTTTATTGGGATAATTGTTTTCTCTATATCGATCGAGGCAACCGCATGTCCTTGAATTGGATCCTTGCTACTTTAGAAGGGGCAGACAGAATAATTCATTGGAGGATTATGTCAAGAAGAGCAATAGAAAGTGGGAAAGACAAAATAAGGCTCAGTCGGCTCATTGCATGTGACTTAGGAAGGAAGAGATAGTAGTAGCAACAGCCTGAGGCTAATAAAAGACTTTTAACCTATTTCTTACCCTCAATTTACAGTTACAGTTTCCCTAACTTTTTCCTCTGAATGATATATTGCAATTATACTCTTTTTTTTTACCTCAGAGAGCGAATAAGGTGATCAAAGCACATAACTCCTCCACTCCTTTGTTTTTATACATGGCATTCCAAAATGTTCACGCTCCACTCCAAGCTCCAAAACGTTATTCTGACAAGTACAGCTTTATTAAGGATGAAAAACGTAAGATGTTTGCAGGTATGGTGGATATTATGGATGAAGCCATCGGCAACATTACTCAGGCAATGAAGGATGCAGGGTATGTAACCCGGCGATACCCTTAGGAATTTGCAATACTTCTTTCATCCGCCAGAGACTTTTCATTCGCGGTTTCCGGTTTTAGCCAAGTCTTCATGGTGACCCACGCCGCTCGAAAGACGTGTCGGCCTGTGGCCGATCTTAAAGCATCTTCACCGTACTCAATCGCCGTACGCAAGAAAAAACCCTTGGTACTCAGAGTACATTCTCATTAGCTTAAAATCAGCTATTTTCATGTTAATTGACATCCTAGCCCCGTTTTGCAGTATCTCTTTTGTATTTAACTCTCTGGGACGAGGCTTGGGGGCCAATTAACATAAACGAGCAAAGGGTGAGATCTTTCAATCCCTTCTTTTACGGACACCAAGTTGGCCCTTTTCATCCAAGGAAATGACATTCCATGCAGGTATGATCTAGAGAAACTCCGAAATTGAAAGGGATGATCTTGCAAACGCGAAGTCGGACCGAAAATGTGTGGAATAAGATGGTTCACAGCCTCCAGAACAAAAGGGCCGAATGTGATTTTAATGATGATGAACATAAATATGAAAGAATAATAAGTGGAGTGAATAAGGCTCTTTTTTGATATTTCAGTTTGTGGGAGGACACCCTCATGGTTTTCACTACTGACAATGGAGGATGGCATGATCACGGTGGATTCAACTGGCCGCTTCGAGGGGAAAAGTTTACCTTATGGGAGGGAGGGGTGAGAGGGGTAAGCTTTGTCCATGGAAACATGCTTGGCAGGAAAGGAGTGAAATGTGAAGGCCTCATGCATGTTACAGACTGGTTTCCAACATTGGTCAATATTGCCGGTAAACAGAGCTGTTGTGGTATTTTATGGGTTATTTCTCATGAAGTTTCGATACTTTTAACAAGGTTAAAGCGGAGGTTTGATTAATGATGGCCTAATTGCCATTCTTCCTAGTACTTCTTTAATTAACACTGCACGAAAAAGTGGATTTTCACAAATTTACTCGGTGCAAATATGGTGCGAAAAAGTGCAAACTAGAGGGAAATCAAAAGCAAAGATGGTAAATACCGCATTTGCTTGCCAGTTTACATGGGGTTGTAGGGCAAATGCGGTTTTTACCATCTTTGCCCTTTACTTAACCTTAGTTTGCACTTTTTTGCAGCAAATTTGCACAAAGTAAATTTGGTGTAAACCAAATTTTTTCGTGCAGTGTATTATTATGAATTACGAGCAATTTATTCTTCTGATAAATTTGTGGTTGTATGCACTTTATCTTAGACGAGACGACTAATACGTCTCAAACGAATTATGCGTCGAGTTTATGAATGGAGAAATTTTTTGCTCATTGAAAAATTGCCGACACAAGTACCAACAAACAGAGGCTCACCCGACTCTGAAACGCCAAATGCAACTGATTATTTTCGTATTTTGCGAAAATTTTTAAGGCGTAAAACTGTGCCCAATTATGACCTATGAATTTCTCGCTCTACCCCAGGTGGTACTATTGATCATGCGCAGACACCGCTGGATGGCGTGAATGTGTGGAACACCATTTCTAAAGGAAAATCATCACCTAGGAAGGAGATACTGCTCAATATTGATTTAAAACATAAACAAGAAAGCGATGAATTATCGGCCATCACTTATTACGAAGGCATTGCTTTGAGATCAGGTGAAATGAAGCTTCTAATGACTGTGCCTAATTCGTCTTGGTATAAGCCTCCTGAGCTTGAAGGAAACCCAGACTACAAACAATACATTGATTGGTCACAAGGAGGAATAAAGGTATGGGTAAATAATATGCAACTATCCCCCGAAGGGGAGTTGAACAGTGGTGGTAGAAATATGCCGAGGCGCGAAGCGTCGAGGTAGCGCTGTTCGTCGACCCTGAAGGGGATAGTTGTTTTAGTATTTACCAAATCAGTTGGATAAAAATGAAAAAAGTAACGTTTTGTAAATTAAAAACGTCACTTAGTAGGGACTTTGTTTACAATTTACAAACATTTCGGGGATTTTGTCAAGTGCATTTTTACGATTTTGTGGCAGATTCAGCATGAAAATTATTTTCTCCCTACCAGTAAACAATGACAAGCCAAAGTTCGTCGCTTTCTTGGTATTTCTTTGTTCGACTACTTCATTCGTCTTTCGAAAATGTCTGGAAACGAGACGCCCTCAGCGCTCCGGTCGAAACAGTGTTTCGAGTTACGAGAGCCAATCAAAACGCGCGAAAATTGCTATTCACTGATTTGGTAAAAATTAATACTAGTTTAATCTATATCATACTCTCAGTTTATGTTCACACTATGCTGGATAGCTTTTTGTGGCTGCACGAAAAGCTATAGGGTGTATTGATCCTATCCAATGGTGTTTCGAGTTTTTCAACTTTAAACTATAGTAAGCACATTTAAGTGTCTTTTTGCATCGATAAATCGTTTAAGTGTCATAGGATAGAAACTTCTCCGGTCCAAGAAGCCACCTCTCACTGAAGAATCCGAAATCGAGGTTGAGTCTAAAATAACATAAACCGTTAGGCCGTTTCTCTCTTTCTAAGGGCCTACTCTTGCTCCTAGATTGGATTTAGATGCCAAAGGCCCTGACGTTTTTTCAATAGAATCTGAGATTTCCGTGAGTTTGTAGAATCATTAAATGTTTTTGCCGCCTTCCACAACTCACGAAAGAGCATTAGAATTCTTCTAAGATCTATGTAGGGTATATCTTGGCAAACCCATTTTTTGTCCTGATTTACTATAGAGTACTCCAAGTACTTTAAAGGTGGCTTTGTACAACATTACCGCTGACCCAACAGAGCATAATGACCTCAGTGAAAAGCTTCCAGAAGTGGTGAAGAAAATGAAAAACAGAGTGCAGTACTACATGAAAGGATCTGTACCTCCAATTAACAAACCTGATGATCCTAGAGCAACTGAAAAAGCTTTGGAAGAAGGTATCTGGACTCCTTGGGAAGACTAAAATTTCTGCTGAGGTCAGTATTTTGATTAGAGATACGCCAGTCAGAGGAAACCTTTAAAGCTGTGAAAAATGTTTTTAATCGTTTTAGATTAAGTGGATTTCGAATTTGTTGTGCTAGTTTCCCTCCTTTCTAGGCTTTGAGTTGCAACTGTAAAAACAAATAAATATCTAATATATGATAACAGGTTAAGCAAATAAATAAAGACTAAATAAATGAATGAACGAATAAATAGGATGGTTTAAAGTGGTTGTCGTCCTTTGTGGTTTTCCGTCTGCCACCCCAGATGGAGTTGGAAAGGGGTTTAAACGTGAAAACTAACATGTGAAGAGAAAAAAATAAGCAGAGGAGGTTGCGTCAAGAGAGAAGGAGCTCATTCTCTCTTGGTTGTGTACATCCGTTTGCACGTTGTTTGGTATGAAAAATAATTTGAGAGCTGGGACACGTTTTTGGAGTAGCCATTGGCGTTGCAAAGTGATCAGTATAGAATGAACTGCCTGTGAACCAAAATGTTGTTGATGCGAAAGGGTAGACAATTGTATAAATCAGGCCCCAGTAGTTCAAAGTTGGATATAGCGTTATCCACCGGATAATTACTATCCAACGGATAAGTGCGAGGGAAACTAATTGCGCTATCCAGTGGATAGTACTTATCCGGTGGATAGCGTTATCCACCTTTTGGACAACTGTGGCCAGGTGGGTGTTCAGTAGAGGTTTGATTGTATGGTGACTAGTGTTGTGAAGTATTTTCAGATTGTTTGTAATTGAAGTTTCCCGTGCCTGTTTGACGATCAAGGTTAATCTGTATTTGTGTCAACAAGTTTTTGAATGTCATTATACCTTTTTTATGGGTTTGTCAATGCAAGTGTCTTTTGTCTTGCAGTTTTTTTAAAGGGGCGATGTCAAGGTCATTTCCATTTTGTCAAAGCTGAGCTGAAATTAAAAGTATTCTCAGTCATCTTTTACCTTACTTAAAATGTAAAAGAAACCTATAAAATGATTCTGTAGAGGGGAAACCATACTATGGTATGCTTTTGGTCATTTTTGGACAACACAGGAAAAAAAATGAAGAAGTTGGCCCAATTTTTTTTCCATCCTGGCCATCGAAAGCCAAAACTGACACACCTTTAAGTTAATGTATTAGTAGAGTAATTTCAAATACTGCTGAACCAATATTTGACGATTTTCTGTTATTCCAATGCGTCCTTAGGGTGTTTTCTTCACAACACTAGCAAAATAATGATAATATTTGGGTGACATATTGGTTCAGTTGCACGTCGAAGTTCGTATGTATTTGAATGTCAAATAGATTTCTCGGTTACACCAATCTGTCTTGACCATAAGCAATAGGCGGATTCATCGTGACGTCATTTTGGCTCATTAGCATACGAGTTAACCAATAGAAGATGTAGCCGTATATAACAGTTAGGTTCAAAAATTAAATTTATGGAGTTTGTGCAAGTTTTATCTCTTTTCGATCAGTGACAAAGAAAATAGCAACAATTAAAAAAACTGCAAAATTACTGGGTGGCAAAACGTTTTAATGAGCTCATACATTCTTTGTAAATTTTGGGGTATTTCCAAAAGAATTTCTCCGAATTAACTATTTGGTATATCGAGATCAAATTTTCAGAGATAACCGAAATTGTTATGCTCTTTCAATATTCGAAAATTTCGTTTTATTACCTTCATCACTTAACATATATGACACTTAAATGGACATAAAATTTGTATATAAAATAGGCATCCCAATTTGCAAATCACTGAAAAAAGTTAAAAATTCGTCACAAAATCTATAGAAGCCATAAAAGATATTTCCACCCTATAACAAACAAACAAACAAAAAACAAACTTACGCAGTTTTGTTACGAATAAGATTAATTACAGGAATTAAAGGAGACGTCACGCTTGCCACGCATAAATCAAGTCACAAACAATTCTTCCAACCTGAATTTCTAAAAAAAGTTTGCGTTGCGGGGGCTTGCCGACAGATAAAGGGATGTAGTAACACTTTCCTTGAGCAATTTCTTTGAAACAACACAAGTCAAATTTTGAACAACGATTTAATAAACTTACCACATTGTTTGGACTTCATTTGCTTCGTCTGCATTTGTCATAGCACAATGTCTTTCAGAAGAGAAACCCGTGTCACCAGCCGCGTTATTTTCAAACAAATATGACACAACAACTCCAACTCGAACGTTTAACTGTGACTCGTCGGACACCTAACATAAAAATCTGTCGAGCTTGATGGCCTAAAAGGGCCTCCAAAACTGCTCTGCCTTAACGTTAAGAATACTTCTTCCTTTCTGATAAAACTACTGTTTGACTACTCTGCATGAATTGACCAATTTCCATACTTTAGAATTCAGCCTCAAACAATTCGAGGCTCTTGGGAATAATCATCTTTAGAAAATAGACCATTTTCGATATATTCAAATTCATACTTGGCTGCGAGGCTTGGAGGAATAAAATTGACGCTCAGCAATGAACAATACATTTCTTTTGTTTTAATCCCAAGCTTCGCAGACGAGTATGAATTTTAATATATCGGAATTGGTCTATTAAATGCTTTATTATTTACTGTCGGGGGTATGTAATATGTTCGAGGGCGATACCAGGTAAATATATATATCACATACACCCTCGTTCCAGGTAAATAACCCTTACATTACCATATCATGAATTATTAACGCTAGCTCTTTTGGCTGTTTTTCTTCTGCTTTTCTGAATAAACACGCTTTAAGAGAACAAAACATCAACCAACGGAAGCAGAAGTGCAATACTGCGTGGACATGTTTTCACTTCCTCCAAAACACGCACTGCGCGCACTTTTCCCTTAGGGAGGAGATGGGGAAGGGGGAGGTGCGACCCCCAAAGGCTCCGGAGGTCCACCTCTTTGTTGACCAAAGATTTACAACATAGTAAATTAGCGATACTGAGCCTACAGTGTAATTGCAAAATCGTTCTCAATTTTGCGACAGTTGGACAGTTTGGAACATAGTTCGCTAGAAAATAGGTAGAAGAGAGCAAGAAGAGAGGCCGCCGCATGATTTTGTCAATCCATAGGTACCTCTGTTCGTAAACCGCCTCAATTTCTACATTTAAAAATATCGAGGGTAAATCTAAAAGTTAGTGATTTCTGGGCCTTGGGAAGCGGACACCCTGGCGAGAGTGGCCCTTCAGCGTGTTCTTGTTAAGTCAGATTTTTCTAGTTTCAATTAAGTAGAGAAATACTATTTGTATGTACCATCTAACAGACATTGATCTGAATAAAATCGTTGATCTATCTGTTTGCTAAGAAGCACCTAACTATCCTAGCCCTAACCTTCGCACACTACTGAAAGGTCATAATGATCAGCAGCCAACCTAGTGAATAATCAAATTTACAACTCTTTTTTCTATTTTTCGTTTTAAATAGTGACATTTCACTTTTTTTAAATACATACATAAAGTAGTCACTTGGCCAAAAAAAGTTAATTTTGAAGTTCAAAAATTTGGGGAAATATCCACGTTTCGCTTTTGACTGCCTTGTCATACCTTCTTCAAAACGCTCCAAATGTAGTCTCAGACAGCCTAATCCCTCCCATCCTCGGAGACCCAGGGGCAGTCAGTCGGGTCGGGAGAAAAGGCGGGACCAAAGTTTTCAAGTACGGTTCTCAAACTCATTAATAATTCATAAAGAAAATACAAAGAAAATTAATGTTTAATGAGTGTTTGGAAATCGGATGAAAAACTGCTCAGTATTTGCATCCTTAATTTCTCCTTCAAAAATGATTTTGTTTGAGAAGAAATATCAAACATTCGACACAGTGTTTCATCACCAGATGGTCAAAAAACTCCGCTGCGCGTCGTATTTTCAACTCTCGTCTCGGTGTTTCATCTGGTGATGAAACACTGCGTCTCATGTTTGATATATTACGTAAAAGAGCCCCTGGGTACCGACTCTCGCCGAACTATTTCCAAAAATTCAAGCAGATGCCGGCTCCTGATTGGGCACAAAAAGTGTTTGTATTATTGTACCAATCGGCGAACAGTTTCTCCTGAGTTCTCCTTTTCAGCATCAAATTTCTTCTTGTAATATCAATGTTTTGTAAAAAAGAGTGGTCATGAGAATTAAGGACATGATCACACAAGATGAATTTGCTTGATATTTTATCAACTTCTCCCCACTACTTCTACAGTACATGAATAGGCGCGACAAATGAAAATTGTAATTTTGATCTTAGGGTTGAAAGGGTCAAATATAAACCTAAAGACGGCTAAGAATCGTACTTATTGGAGCAGCAACAACAGACTAGGAAGAAACGACAGAACAAAGAAATTTATTATATTTAGGTCAAAGCGAACTTTGGGTAAACAATTTCTACCACACAAATACGGTTGTTCGAGAAAACCTACGCTCTTACTGGTGTAATATGCCAGTTTTTAAGCTAAATCGACCTCTCTTTCTTTCAGTTAACTCACATTATCAAAAAAAATAAAATAAAATAAAACAAAACAAAAAACCGGAGACGAAATTAATGTCATTTCCCTATTGGTAAGTATTATCAATGCATATGCATTCTTATTTGTTTTACTCACAGACCAATGCAAGCAATGTGCAACTCGCACTGTCCAACATTACTGCTGATCCAGAAGAACGCCACGATCTCAACAGGAAACTTCCAGAAGAAGTAAAGTCATTGCTAGCAAGAATGCGCTACCACATGAAAGGTGTGGTTCCTCCACCAGCTCCTACGTTTGACCCTAAGGCAGTAGAGGAGGGTGTCTGCTGTCCTTGGCTAGAGTACATGAACTTTCGAAAAGTCGCCGTAACGCTTTGTTAGACTGAAAAAACAAAACTCAACACATATAAAACACGCGGAGTAAACTATAGCAATCTAGTTTTGGGCAAGCTTAGACCATATGATCACAAATACGTTTTAGTGTTAAAAACTGTACTTTTTACACGATTTGGCCTTCAAAAAGTCCATAATAAAATGGTAATAACGGGGGTTTTTCAAGGACACTATTTCAAAAGTGGAGAGTTCCAAACGGAAGCTAGTCGTTCTAGTGTGGACGGGCGCAAACGGAGCTTTTCAAAAACGCTTAAGGCGTAGCTACTCAGATATGACATATACCTACAAACGGAGGGTATAAGAGAGTATCATGCGAACAGTTCGGGAACGGACTATAAAGTCAAACGCTTTCGATTGCATTAGTGTTGACGAAGTATTTGGAATGGCTCACATGAGCAACTCAATCGCCGGCAGAAGTACAGACAAAACTTAGAGAAATGTTCACACGTCCAAAGAAAGCCCTCATGCGCGTCAGTATCCCAAATCCCAACATGGCGGACGAATTTTTCAGTCACCTTTTGTTTCAGTTGAATTGTTCTAAGGCTACCCTTGCATCGGTTAACACTTGTGAGCGGTAACACAAAAAATGGAAAATTTTCTATTTCTTGCGCTTGCTTTGAAGTAGTTGTAACATATGTCCTTTTTATATCAAGGCAGTTTTACAAAATACTGAAAATTGGTTCAAACAAGCGATGTGAACAGCGTGATGCTGAGCGTCGAAAGGGCCGAGCGCATAGAAAAACGCCCTTAAGAACGATGTCGTCCGGAACGCCCAAAATTCTGATTGGGTGGAAATAAGACGGCTCGGAGCCTGCCGCCTTAGCCTACAAACCATTATCTAAACAATGCCTTGCCATAAAATCCCATTATGATGCCGTCATAACGGTGTCTCTCTTGCTTGCGTTTGCGTCGCTCATGTAAACCGGTCGTACCGATTACGCGCTTTGTTTGTAATTAACACCTTGCCTTGCCTATTGTCTTAACCTAAATATAGGTAGCATGCGCCTGGCTGTATTCTGCCTACAGATATATTGCGTTCTTCATTCAATCATCGCAGATGTCACCAATAGACTTTAAGCGAGCCTTCCTGTTTGTTTGCCAGATCCTCACAAATGGTCTTTGCGGAATAAACAAGCGAAGTTCAGAGACTGAGATTTGCTCCGCCGTCCCCATGATAACATATTGCTTTCGTAAAAATAATCTCGGGCATTGACAATAATCATCTTGAACAAAAATTTCTTGTCTTGTCTTGAGATCCACAAGGCTCCTAAAGACAGTGATAACCCGTACTAGGTACCTCCTCTCTTGGGTTCTGTTATCAAACGTGGATTGCAATATCCGTGCTCGAATTACTGGTGAAAATAAAAAAAAACTTTATTGCCTAACGCTATAAAGGTGAATTTTTCTTGAACGATAATAATCCGATCAGCGCTCAAAGCTACGTACAGCACATTTATCATGGCATAATGTGAAAAGTCTGGATATAAGCAAATACATGTACCTTGTGATTTTTATATTTTCCTTTTTTTCTTTTAAGTGACTAAAAAAAGCTTTAAAGCAAATTTAACATCCAAAGTCAAAAGAAAAGAGGACTGTTGTAGCCAATCACAGAAGAATAACATTAACGTAAGCATTAGCTTGCACCAATTCTGGTTACTAAGAAAACAAACTGTGGTATGCAACGCAGGGGCGGATCTAGGGGGAGGGTGCAGGGGGTGCGCACCCCCCCTGAGATGACCTGCGGTTTTCTAATACAACTGGTATTCTGCAAAAAAAAAAACTATGTGGTTTATTGGTGCTGAAGTAGCGCAAGAGACGAGTGCACCCCCTCCTAAAAAAAATCCTGGATCCGCCCCTGCAACGTTACGATAATCAGAGGGATTTGTCAATTAAGAAGACACTGAAATGTAAGAACAGTAAACAGAATATTGTGAAGACAAGACTAGTGCTCATATATACATATATATCATTTAAAAAAAAAAAAAAAAGAACCCGCTGGTTACTCCCGAAAGAATTTCAAATTTGTACAAGTAATGCTCTCTGTAGACAATACAGCCCGATATAAAAGTCGACACTGTTCATTCTTTCTGTCCACTGCATTGTAAAACCACCGCCTGAGTACAGTCTCTTTTAGGACTATATCTCTTCTCATCAGGCGAGTAAGTTTTTTTAGTAACAGCAAGGAAGCATTTACACCATTATCTCTAGTCAAAGGAACTTGGTAAAAAGATGAAGGAAATATTTACCAAAGTCACTTTCACAGTAGTTCTTGTTCCGTTTCTTAGATATTCTACATGTACGGCATTTTTCTGATCAAAAGAGAACAACATTATAAGTGTTAGCAATAAATGCATCGAAAAGAAAGAAAACCGGTTCTTTTTTAATGAAAAAAATGAGTAGTAAGCTAAAAGAAACAAGTCAGTAATAGCTAACTGCAGAATTATTTAGTTCTTTAAAGACTCGCACCTGGAAAACGTCGCCTCATCAAGAGAAGTAAAGTCAGGAAAATTAACAATTGTACGGTGGTTTTAAACAACGCAGACTATCTTTCTAAGTTATTATCTGACAAATTCAAACTTCAACTACTCCTCACCTGGTCTGTTGGGTGTTGATAGCGTTGTAGGTGATTCGCGCCCGATTTCAGTGATCCCTTGAGTTGTAATTAGAAACTTTTTTTCTGGTGGACCTGTATCACGTTCCGAATGAGAATTGTCTTAAATTAAATGTTATGTCATACTTATTCGTACATACAGTTGATGCGGCATTTTACTGGTTATCTTTGACTAAACTTAAACTGTTACAGAAGCTCATTCTTCGCAACACATCATAAATCAAAAGTTATTGGACAGAAGAAAAGGTATCTCCCCGGATTTCAGGGAATTGCATTGGAAGCGGTATGTTAAAAAAAAAGAAAAGTAGGTTTACGACCTGTTTACTACATTGTGGCAGCTCGAGGTGTGGGGATATAATGGTCTAGTAAACGGTCAATATCAATTTAAAAGAACACGTTTTATGATAATTTGGACCACATTTTGAAAATCTCGATACCACAGAAATTTCAAGTTTCGGGCTTGTATATCTCTAAGAAAAAATCCGTTAAGTCCATCTCCATTAACCCTAAGATTGCCCTACCTTTTGAGATGATGAAGTAAAGTTTAATTTAAAGCTATACCAGCAATATTTTGGGGCTCCGTTCGTACAAGCGTTGTCGTCTGCGTCGTCTTCATCAGTTGGCACCGTTTTCGTAAATCCTGCATCGTTAGTAACAGCGATCCATTCCATTCTTCAACGTAGCTTTCTCGACTGACTTCAGCTATGACCTTTGTGGAGCCCACCATCCTGGTCATCTTTCCCATTAAAAGATACTGTTTACCAGGAAGAAGCAGGGGGCAACTACACAGATTACTGAGTATCCAAACGCTTCGAAATGTAAGTAACGAACTTTTCATTTTAAACATGTGAATAAATCTGACGCGGTAGTTGGTGTCCAGGGATAATTCGTTGATACCTTCTGACAAAATCCTGATGTGTACGACTGTTCAAAAAAAAAAATTGAAAGAAAAATGTCACCTTTGTCACGCTCTAATGAGCTTTAAATTTACCACCAATTTTAATTGATCAACCTTTCATTACGCTGTCGAATTTGCTGTTCCTAGTAGCACCCAGTAATTTTCCTGTAATTCTTTTTAATGTGGCCCGAACCTATTCGTATGCGTGTTGGTGTAAAATGTTTTTGAATCGCGTTTTTCAGCACGAAAAATTTAACCGATTTCTATGATTTTTGGCATCCTTAATGAAGAATGATGGAACTTTAACAGAAAATGTTATTTATTTTCTTGTAGATATAAAACGTTTCACATATCGGCATATATTTAAAACCACATTTTTACGAAAACTGGAAATAACTTCGAAATTCTTCGACTCCATACAACTCGCTGCAAAAAATGTTGGTCTAATTTAAAATACTACGCTAACAAGTTTGTGAAAGAGGAAGACTGTCTACGGACTATCTCCTGTCTGAAAGGGTATTCTTACCCAAAGCTTTATTGCAAGAAACCGAATAATCAGAAACTTACGGCAGACACGGTTAGCACCGCAACGCAAGATATTAACATTTCTTATAAAAATGCGGTTTTAAATATATGTCGATATCTCAGACGTTTTTATATCTACAAGAAAACAAATAAAATTTTCTTTAAGTTCCACCATTCGTCATTAAGGATGTCAAAAATCATAAAAATCGGTTAAATCGTTTTTGCTGAAAAACGCGATTCAAAAACATAACCAACACGCATACAAACAGGTTGGGGCCACCATAAGAACTCCTTCGTAGCTCAGTGGAAAGTCCTCCTGCCCACTCTTTTGAAGGCCATAGATTGGAAATCTGAAGAGTTTTGTCCCATGTTTGTTAAATGACGATCACAGCGTCTTTCTCATTCAGTGCAAGGTTAAAATCTGCTCTTCTAAATTCTCGCTTTGATTTACAGATAGCCAACGAAATACTGTAGTTCAGTGACTAATGTAACGGTCTGAAATTTAACGAATGAGCTTCATCGGGCTGCAAGAAAATTGAATATTTGCACCATTTTTTTGGTTAAAGTTGTTTCTACGTCGTTTAGTTCTTCCCCAAGAATGCCCAAAGATAGCGTCTTTCATACAAAGGTAAGAATGGCGTATTCAGTGAATAGTAGCATAGGGCGCACAGGCTTCTCCCTCTTTCTGCGGTGGAATCACATTAATGTAAGGTGGAATAAATCAACGTGGAGGAAGTTACGAATAGGCATCAAATCTCTTGTTTTTTTTATTTCTTTGGTGTTGTGGCTAGAATAGTGGTCAGACGGTTTTACGGGGTTTTAGTTATTTCTAAATCGATAATGCAGTCTGACTGTGCGGGCCATGTCGTTATGTTCACCATGGTGTTATAAGCTGTTTTGATTGGTGAACTCATGGAAAATAAAGCAATAAATCGTTTGACACTATAGTGACTTTGCTTTGGCGTAATAATTCCAATTCTGTTTCCTAGTTCCAGTTTAACCAAAAACATTGTGAAACTTTACAATTAAATTATTTCTCCTCCTCCTCCTCTAGCTTCCCCATTCTCCCCCTCCTACTAACTAATTGTATTGTCCTCCCTCTCCCCCTCCCGTCTTCCTCATCAACAATCCTAACTCGTGTAAGAAAGCCTGATTTGCACTTACCAAAATCGCTGATGCAATAAGCTCTGGCTCGTTTCATTTGATTTACACAAGGATCACATCGATCTATGAAAGAAGACGCAGTCAGCCATGTGAAATTTTTTCTACCGTCGTAAGGTCAGACCCCAGGGTTTTGGCTAGCATTTTGTCATCAAACGGAATAAAATTGCGCTTAACGCTGAAAGTTCCAGTTACTGTTGCCACGCCAAGGTCCTTTATCCAACCACAGAGAGAAATATCTTTGGTCAATCGTTTGATGCATGAAATCGTTATGGTAAAACCAAGAACCATCAACTCCGGTCAAGTGATTTCCAAAAAGCCTGTAAGTGTTTTTAAGACAAGCCCAGGAATTTGTGTTTGTTTCAAAGAACGAAAAAACGCTTTCGTCTACTCACTTCTTGCTGTACTTGCTGTAACAGACAGCTTTGTTGTATAGTTATGTGTGACTGTTACAGGCGGAGATGCAGCAGCTGGCGATGATATTGTTGCGTATTTCCCAGTCGGCACACTGATCTTGAATGTAGCTGTGATCACCAACACAACATATGGTCAGTTTTTTTCTCGAAATGAATTTGTGCCTATCAGAAATCTATATCGAACATTTCGAATAAAATGGTTTTACGTTTATTCACACGCGATGGATTCTAACAACTAAAGATTTCAAACTGACAAATCTAAAATTGCATGTCTTTTCTATGTTCAACCAAAGCAACTCCAGCATATAAAAATATCCTCACCAAGAGAATGTTTTAAAATTACTCAAATTTGTTGAAAGAACGGAACCTCAAAGCAACCAGTGTCCTTCAAATGAGCTAATTACGACATAAATATTTTATTTGTCAAATTTTATCATTCCAGGATGAAACAGGTTCATAAAGAGTAAGAAAGGTGAAGAAATGTTGAAGTGGGTGACATACCTGAAGTCTTTATTCCCGTCATGATCTGTAAAGAATTTGCTAGCCTTGGAGTAACAAGAACTGAATTCCTTAAACAGGAGTCTGCCATCTGATTCATTTCATTCTCCAGTGTTTCATCCCATTCAGCCAGGAAACTTTGTCGGTCAAGTTCCAAAGATGCCATTTTTCTGATGGTGACATTGCTTGCCAATCACCAGATACTCTCTTTTAAACGAAAGTTTGGGTTTGCAGTCGCAAGTTTTGTTATTGAAACGTATGTCCAATTTTTTCTTCATACGTTGATTTTTCTTGAATACTTTCTTCACATTGACCAAGTAAAGGGTGTGATGGCCATCAACAATTTCTTGTGAACGTACTCTTACAATTATTGCTGAAATTGTAATAACAAAAAAGAAAAAAAACAACAACTAGAACAACTTTGAGTGAAAGAAACTCTATTCACACCAACTACAACGGTTCACAATGATAAGGAAGCAGGAGATATGATTTGTAAAGTCAAGCGGTTCTGGACTTTCTAGGTTGCCTTTAATTTGAAACGTTAGGGGTCAACCTCCAGTCCCTTTCCACTCCTTCATCTCCATGAAAAAATTCACAGTAGCCTGACATGTACTAAGCATAGGTAACAAAAAAACACAACGCTGTTAGAAAATTTATTTTCAATATAACATATATGGGCTGATTTAGCAACAGAACGCCAACATCAGTTGACGACGGCGCACGCAAATCAAACAAGTGGCTTGACCAATGGCAGAGCGGAAAAGTGGGCACCAGAAGTCGCGTTTAGTCTTTTCCACGCGCTTTCCCGTCGTCAATTGACGTTTCCTAACCGACAGAATCAGAACTATGCTATCTTAACATTGAATATGGTAAAGTAGAATTGGTACCTTGAAACATTATACGTACCATAATCACTGACACAATACTTTTCCCTTAATCTCTGATCTAAATCACATGGTAGACATTTCGCTGTTGAAAAGAGAGATAGTAAAGAGATCTATATCTTTTTTACAGTGCCCCTCTTCTCTTTCTCTATTATTTTTCTTCATTTTTAAACAAAAACTTATAGAATTTTATCTAAGGTAAAAGGCCATACTTTTAACATGTTTCACACTTTTTCTCGATGAATTTCATCGCCATCGCTTCGAATTCAGACTGTTTTAAAATATTTTTCCCCAGAAAGCTAAGAAGAGAAAGAAACAACTGCTAAGTAATTTTATTAAAGAATAAAAGGGGTGCCAATTCGTTTTTCGACAAAAGACACTTGGTCGGCACTCACTTGTCCTCTTCCTTGTGAATCGAGCTGGTCTTTTGGTTGGACCTTAGAAGTAAAAAATATCCATATCATAAATGCATTTTCATCCGTTTAGTTATAATGGTAAAGTGAAGGAACTAGCATTCGGAAAATCTAAAATAATACCTGAAGTACTTTCAGGCTTCGTCCCCACAGAAGTTGCTATCCGCGTTGTCTTTATCAACGAACATGGTTTGCTCTTTATTTCTTCCATCCGCGTCAGCGTCGATCTCGTCCATTCCTCAACATAGCTTTCTCTACTGACTTCAGCTATGATCTTTGTGGAGCCCGCGAGCCTGGTCATCTTTCCGGTTAAAAGATACTGTTTACCAGGACGAAGCAGGGGGCAGCTACAAAGATTACTGAGTATCCAAACGCTTCGAAATGTTGCTGACGAGCTGTTCATTTTAAAAATGTTTATTATACTGATACGATAATTGGTATCCAGGGATAATTCGTTAATGCCTTCCGTTAAAATCCTGACGTGGACCACTGTTAAAACAAAAATAGAGGTAAGGGTGCGGGTAACGCCTTTGAGTAAAGTGAGTGATTATAGTACTCATTTTCATTAACTCTTACCAAAATCACTGATGCAATAGGCCCTGGTTAATTTTATCTGATTGACACACGGGTCGCATCGATCTATGACAAAAGAACAAAGGTATAAAGAGATACTTTTTGGCATTACAAATTTACGCATTTCGCCATAGACATTCAAACTATTGTGGCCCCACGAAACGTTTAATAGTCCATCTTGTTTACTTGAAAGAAAAAACTATCATGTAAAAAGAGAAGTTATATTCCATCGTTGGTGGGTAGTAAAGGATACTCTAGAATATAGGGTATTATGGGCTACCATACTATGGTGGCACCTACGTCCAAATGATGTTCTCTCGTTGAACATAGAGAATTTCTCAAGGTTGTTTACATATTTGTATGGAGCAAAAGAAACTGTGCTCTATAGCTGGACACTTTGCTGGGAATGCTGTCATGTCAGTTAGAGACGCATTCATGTTTGGAAATTTAGTTTCTCCTTTATGACTTCATTATGACGTCAAAGCTTTTTAAATAAAATACTAAAAGACTTCGTAATATTATTAAACATGTTACTGTTAGGGTTTGTGGTTAAACAT